GACAAACAGTTATTAAGAATATCGCTGCTTCTGGCATAGCAAGAGATAATGAAGGATCACTCTATGTGTCTGATTGGACTGAGAACATTGTGAAAAAATGGCGTGTTGACGAGACAATTGGACAAGTGATTATTTCAGGACTTAATCGTCCTTGCTTACTGTTTGTTGATCTCAATCAATCTATCGTTGTAGCTGATCAATGGAATCACAGAGTAATAAAAGTAGATAATGAAACAACACAAATTTCGATTGTTGCTGGTATTGGTTCTGCTGGTCGTGATGAAAATAAATTAAATTTGCCATTGAGTGTTGCTGTCGATCAGTTGGGTACGATCTATGTGGCTGATACTAAAAATCATCGAATAATGCGATGGCCACGTGGAGCTATATCCGGCAATGTTATTGTCGGTAGTCGTGGCGAAGGTTCTCGATCTGATCAACTTAGTGAGCCCAGTGATTTATCATTCGATTCTGACGGAAATCTCTATGTTGTCGATGCGGGAAATAATCGCGTACAAAAATATCCCATTGATAAGAGTTCGTGTTAACACATGTGAGTGAATTCGTTACTTCTTTTTTCAAAATAAATACAGAAGAAGATCGAACGATATTGAAGTGCATACAAAAAAATAGTGATTAAAAGTGGCTATGATCATGTGCTGTATCTATCATTCTTTCTTTCTATCTCTAAATCATCAAACGAGCTAAAATAAAGTTGAACACTTACGAACTGTTTGAAAATACAAATCAATTCAATACAAAGCGTTCTTGGTAGAGATTCATTTGTACAGAAACTTAGATGAAAATAGAAATGATCTAATAGTTTCAATTGATCTAAACCTAGATGTCTAATGATATCATATAATATTCTATCTCTGGTTCGAGCAAGAAACATCTTTGGTCATTACTCGCTACCTTGCATGTAAAGATTAGTTTAAAAAAACTCGAACGAGCTATTTGATTCTTAAGTGAACTTTGCATCTATTTTTCTATTTGTACTCAACTGACTTATGTATGTGAATAATTGAAATGGAATTGAATTTGAACAGAGAAAACAGTACATATCTGATGAATATTGCTTGCAGTTAAAAAAAACCACTCAACACTAGTTCCATTAAATCTTTTATATTAAAAAATAAATATTCTATCTTGAATCTATCCTAGATTTGTTTCTACTTAAAAAACGATCAACTTGATTGAGCATTTAATCTCCCATGTCGCCAAAATCACCTATGTTTGAACGATTAATCCTCGATTTCATTCTAATAAAACTCTGATACCTGTTTTATATATTAAACTCAATATCAGATGTTCTTTCATTTGGGAAAGAAAAGAAACAGCATTTATTAGTTATTTCTAATCTCAAAGCCATTTTTAGAATTTGAAAAGTATGCTAAACATTGGGTGTTCGATTTCAGATTCGCTTCTTTCGATTGATCGGTCGGTGATACTGAAATGTTTTGAGAGAATTATTTTAGTCTAGACCAGGGTCTACCTAAATTAAGTTATATCTAATCTATCCTACGACAGGATTACGGAAAAACATTGAGAAGGAAGAATTAACAAAGAGGAATTGGATTGGAGGTAATCAGATTGTTTGGATGTTCTATGTGAGAATTTTTAATAATCACGATGTGGAAAAAATCGGGAAAAATCACCAATGTTAGCGATTTTACCGCGATATAATCTCAATATTAATCGGCATGATACATCGCAATTAGGCGTCGATGTTCTCCCGATTTTTGTCACATAGGTTCCGATGGAAATCAGCAAGATTATCATCACCTCTGACAACGATCGAAAATGAAAATTGACCAACAGCTGAATCGACTTTTTCGAGATATACACTATTGTATATTTATTCACATCCGCTTTAGAAGCTAAAATCAATAAAAACATCTTAGTTCAACAAAAAAGTAGATATTATTGTTTTTTTTTTCTGACGATGTTCTACTTTCGGTGACTCAAAGAATTGAACTTGTTCACCTTACGACTATTAGACAAAATCAATCGGCGGAGTATAAGTTACTGTTCTACATTGAAAGGAGATGCCTTCGCATTTGATGCAAATAATTTACGCAAAGTAGATACTGGCAAAAACGAATCCATTATAATTACTTGGTTAAGCTCTGTGTCAATAAAAAATAAAAAAAAAAGTAATGCTTCGATATTTGGCTTATATAGTTGGTAAAAAAAGTATCCAACCAACTTGCTCCTATCTCTTGCAAAGATCTTATTCAAAGAAATCCTTTCGAAAGACGGATTCCCATGAAATTTATGTGTGATAGAGAACTTTGTTTGCTCTGTCCAATGAATGTATTTGGAGGAAAACAGTAACATGTTTCCAAATTGAAAATAATTTTTTATCAAGAAAAGGATGAGATTTTCCGAAAAAAAAGGTCCTTGTCAGATTTGGTGACCCATTTGAATTAAAAAACTACATACGTAATTTTGTAGAGCGAGTCACGGTGCATTGAATGGTATATAGGAAATCACATTTTCTTCAAGGATGTGGGTGTGGTGTGTATGTAGAGATGACCCACACCCACCCTCATAAGTTTTTGCAATTACGGGTCACAGTGTGATCGCAGCTACGGTGTAACTATGCCGTAATTTGATCGTAATGAACTACATAGTTTCGTTTTCCACTTATCCACCCAACTGGATTCCTGTGCAATATATCTCGACTATCTGCATTCTACCACTAGGAATCGTCGACAAAGTGCATATTGACAACATCTTGCCACACCGCCTGACTATATTTTTCGACATTTCAGTCATCAAGTGTCATTTCCAGTCTGAAAAAATCCTCTACTTTTTTCAACAATATGAAATTACGATGCAAATTGTTTAAAACTTTTATTTGTAATGAATTCGTTTATTGCTTTCCTTAGCAAATGTCTTATGATGCTTGCGTCAGCATTGCATTGTAGCTACCTCGCTTGTTTTTTGATAGTGGCGTATGAGAGAGAAACAGAAATAAAGAAACGAGCAATGTCTTGTTGGTCATAGATAAGAAAAAGAACTAGAATGATTTTTCTCCAGTTACCTTGTGACAGGCTATTCTATATATGAATTACATGTGCGTAGGACACACTACACCTGGGCAAAGATAATTTGACTTTTTACTTTTTTTCTCCTTTCGTTCTTCTCTTTCTTTGTTTTGCTTTTCTCTACAAGAAGGAAAGACACTTGGGTTCGTTTTACAAAAAACCATTTATGTGCACAACACGTTAGTCTACACTATTGCTACGAAAACAACGTCAAAAACATGGGTAAATTTTTTTCTTAGGATGCACAAATTACATCTTTGCATTGTAATCGCGAATTCACTATTATTAGAGAAACTTTCTGTATACAACCAAAAAGAATCCATCATGTGTCACATACTGGTCCACCAGAATTGCGTCCAAAGTTTTTTTCATGTTATTTTTCACTGACTTGCACAGCGAGATAATTTCTGAAAGAAACGACAATATGTTATGGTTATTTGATTTCTCGATTTGTGCATCTCCATATAAAATGATATCACAGTCAGACACTTAGGCAGATGAGCCCGTTCCTTTTGCCCATTTTTCGGTAGTCCTCTCACTCCAAGTTTAGTAGACCCAAGAATTATATGACAGTAAACGGAAACAATTGAAAATTCATCTCAGCATTTGAATGTTCTGAGCTAGCATTGAATATAGATGAACAAGGCCCTAACTTATCGACTTTCATCCTTGTACAGTTCTTTTGTATCTTTTTATAAGCAAAATTATCCTCCTTTTTTAATCCTCCTTTTTACGAAAATCAAAATCCTCATTTTTTCCTCTCTTTATACAGACTCTCAACGGGATGCCAGTTTGAAAGCCGATAATCTGACAAACGATCAATTTTCTCCAACGCAATTAATGCATGTCAAAGTGTCCGAAGCCACGAAACCACCAACATCCTATATCACATCATTAACGTCGCAAACAGAAACATTTACCCCAATTGATTATATTCTCGCCAGTTATAATATGCGAAACCTATCGAAATTTTATGCGCCACCAGGAAGCGCAGAAAAAGCTGCATACGCTTTGCTACAACTCGAGAAGGATTCACCGATTACAATACTTACTGGTTTCTGTGTGACAGAAAGGCTTGTAGATAGTGAAAAGATGCCGGTAGCCGAAACAGATGGCCCTCCAGGTGCAGTGCTTGCAGGTGAAACGCTTCGCAAACTGTCCTATCATGTGTCATATGTTGCTGATCCTGTTACATGTAATGTTCTCCGGGCGTGCTTGAAATCAATCGCAGCTGATGACCATTGTGTTCACGAATTTTATGCACGTCATGATGAAGAAGAACAGATTGCAGAAGCACATAGACTCATCAATCTACTTAAGCCCAAAGCGATGATTGCTGGAGAGCTCTGCAGTCGAAGTTGGAATGATGGAATCCGTCACAATATGAAGGGCAAAAATATTAATGATTGGAATCCGCCAGTCGATGAAATGCTCGTCCAATTTAAAGGTAGAGGTATTATTATTGCAGTTGGTGATGGTGGCAATGAAGCTGGTATGGCGAATCTAAAAGATAATATCCCACTCGCGTCCGACGGCAAAACGATTATGGCAAGTGGCGTATACTCAGATATTCCTGTTACGTCATGGAATTCAAATCTCGGTTTGCAAGCAGTTGCTTCCATTGCTGCCGCAATAGAAAGTCGATTTGAATTGATTCCAACGGCAGATCAAGTCATCAAGACAATTGAAGCTGCTTTGGATGCAGGTGCAGTAGAAGGCGTCACTCAAGGAAAACAAGAAAATTCTTTGAACGGAAGTTATGCAACGCGTGGTGTGGACGGTTTTGCTCCTTATGTTCATGCGGCGGATCAAGATAAACTGAAAAGTACGTTGATCCAAATGAAAATAAAAGCGATGTTATAAACTTAATATTGATTTCTATTTGAACGTGTGTGTGTGTGAGCTTGTACGAATATAGACAAGAATGGGTGTGAATGGACAAGTGATAAGATACATATTCACCCACATCTATGTACTCTAGTGTGTTAGTAAAATAAATTTCAGACATAAATATTCTAGATTATTTCTAGCGCAAATCATTGCACGCAAGAGAGCATCGTAAGTTGGGCTAGACTGCTCAATGGTTTTTCACATATGATCCAGAGCCCGAAACTGAACTGTATTGTCGAATAATTCGACCAGAATGATTCTTTCAGCATGTTTGAGATACATCGAATGAGTCTCAAATCATTCAACAAATTCTGCAATACGAATTAAAATGAACCGGTGTCCGTTCAGCGAAAAACATTTCAGCGAATGGTTTTTCGGGCGAAAAAAAACAGCGAAAAACAGGATAGCGAAAATTTATTTCAGCGAAAATGTACAATGGCGAAAAGTCAAATAGCGAAAATACAAAATAGCGAAAGTACAAAATAGCGAAAAAACTGACAGCGAATGCCAAAAATAGCGAAAGATAATATCGCAAAAGCACTTTCAGCGAAATTTTTTTCCTTCGATAGCTCAAATTGTCTTTAAGTAATGATGACTCATCATGCGGAGTGCCTCCAAAAGTAACGCCTTTTACCCAGTTTTCTCTATTCTGGCCAAATAACATGCTACTCGACTATGTTTTTTTTTCGTGTATATCTCTGTTTCGTCCATGATTTCAGTTCATACTACACACATCATTTTATTATTTTCTTGAACTTAGTAAACATGACTGATTTAACATCGATCTTTTTCACGACTTCAAATCGAGAGAAACCTTTGCTAATTTATTCAAGATATATTTTTCGGCTTAAAAAATCAACAATGAAAGTAAAATATTGGACTTATCATTCGAATGGCTGTGTAGCTAATGTTCACACAGACAAAAATGACTATTTCATTAACCCTTTGCCCGTCGACATAAGAGAGGGAAGAAACGATTTTGCAGGAAATTTATTTGTCTTTTTTGGAATGATTCTATAGCTTCTCTTAGTAAAATGGTGGCTTGAGGAGCACACAATCCCCAGCATTTGTTTTTACGTAAATGCATGTAAAAAACATACCTTATGAATGACTTTTTTAGTGCACGCAAAGATTAAGCTTCTGACGCATATATGCGCCGGCGACGGTCGAAGGGTTAAATCTAATGGTCAGCATCATTATATACCTGAACCTGAATAGTCTGTATTAGTCGAAAGCAAATTGATACACTAACTGAACGATACGAACAAGAACAAATTGCTTTAATTGACTTTCTCTATGCACTATCTACAGTTGTTGCAAACCGTTGTACAAAACCACATTGAACTTCTCATAATTGTAGTTTATTTTTTTATCTCGTATTATTGCTATTACTTGATGTCTATCTGATATTTTTCTTTATTTCTTGATTCTTCTTGATTTTTATCGTCTATTTACTTAGAAATAAATTTTTCTTTATCAAAAATTTCGCTGTTTTGGTTTTCGCTATTCGCTCAAATGTACTTTCGCTATGAGAATTTTTTCGCGCAAAAAAAATTCGCTTATTGTAGTTTTTGCTGATCTATTCTTTCGCTTATTTTCCATTTCGCTGAAATATTTATTGCCGTTTAGTCATTTCGCTCAAAATTATTTCGCTGATATTTTTTTCGCTTTTTTCTATTCGCTCAAAATTTTCGCTGAAAAGTCTTTCGCCGATTAGCACCCTCCCCATTAAAATAGGTTCCATTCAGAATGAATCGTTCGTTATTTCGAATCAATGATCGAGCAAATTCAAGTATCAAACTATGCACGAAAATCGGCTTGCCACTGTCCGGATCTCCTCATATTACTATTGACTACCTATGACCAAGAAACTTACTTACTTTCTGCCGAAATATCCAATCTTTCTCCTTCATTTCAAGAGACAGTAAGTAATACACAGATGCACTATCACTTTCGATTGAAATCTTCACCGGGTGATCATTCGATGACAGAGAGGATACATTATAACACGTACAAGACATCCATAAATTCCAGAAGAATTCGAATATTTTTTAGTTTTCTCTTAATAATTTCTTGAGATTCAGCAGAGAGAGAGAGAGAGAAAAGTTTAGATCTATTATTCAACTAAGAAAATTGTTCATATTCTTAACGACACCTCGCACTTCGATTGTCAAATGAAGAGACATACATTTTTGTAAATAAAACTCTAATAAAGCATCATACTCTTTTGACAAACAATCTAGGCTCTTTCGTTCTTCGAGTAGAATTTTGCGCTGCTCCAATTCAAGTTCATCGTTTGGATAAACTTATTCCAAGCTGGATTATAGACCTGTAGTGATTGCCCGGCTAACACGAATGATATTTCTCTAGCATGATCATTTCATACTACAATCACTCTTGTCCTTCTATCATTGTCACTGACTTCTCTTATATCGATTGATTCGAGCATGTCGAGAGTATGCGAAAGTCGCCAGCAGAAGAGCTGTGTCCATTCATTCAGGAATGTACCATAGCAGAAGTCGCAGAGCACTCAATTCTTCTCCGGCAAACAAGAACTCTTCATTGAGGATGCGGCGGATAATTGTCGTGAACTCAAAACTTTTTTTAAGACTTTTAGTCTCTTCTTTGAGAAATTTTTTCATACGTGCTTGCCATCATCTTTGATTAAAGGCTGTTAAGCTATTATTTGACGAAGAGACTCTAGAAGTTTTGAGTGTGGGTGTAGATGAATGTGGATGTTGAAGAGATTCAGTTCTCCACCCACACCTACACCTACCAGATTGATCACAAAAACACAAAAAGACCAGAACAATTTATTGTCGTGGTAGAAAAGAAAAAAAATCAATTACAATTTTTTTGTCACATTTTCAATATTTTTTTTGTATTGTGCGATTTGAGGATGATTTGGAGGAAGAATTTTTCGATCAATTTCATGTGCTTTTTCATAAAATGAAAGTGCTTCGGAGTACTCGCCCATGTTTTTATATACGGCAGCGATGTTGTTGTAGGAAGCAGCCAAATCGGAATGATTCGCAGGGAGAACTATTTTTCGGATCTCAAGTGATCGTTCGAGCGATGAAAGTGCTTTCGAGTACTCGCCCATGTTATAATACACATTACCAATATTGTTATAGGAAGTAGCCCAGGCGAGCTGATTCGGAGGGTGAATTCTTTCGTATATATGAAGTGCTTTTTCGTAAAATGAAAGTGCTTTCGAGTACTCGCCCCTGTTATCATACATGCAGCCAAGTCGATGATTGTATTCCGATCTCTCTTCATCAGAAGATGCATTTTCGAGGAGGATATTATAGAGTTGTTCTGCTTTGGAAGATTCACCCATTTTCATAAGTATAGCACTAAGTCGAGACCAGCCTGTTGCCCAATTGAGCTCTTTTCGTAGAGGTACTGTGAGCGTGTTTAGATCACGATTATCGTTACCCGTAAGAGTGAGATTGACTTTCCATAGCCTATCAGTGTGATCCTCGTCTATTTGTTGAATCCGGTCAATGCGAAAAACAGTGTGCGTTGTAAAAAGAATTTCTGCTTCTCGATCTTTGAAGTAGCCAACATTGCTCATGTTGACAAATGGAATCGATGATGTTGCACATACAGTTGGATCGATGGTCATAATGAAGAGTATGCCAACCGTCTGAGGATTTTTGACTGCTGCTGGACGTGCAAAATCGTCAAGTGAGACTTTTCGATTGAGACTTGTCATAAGAAAATTATTGAAGGACATTAGGCCACCTTTGGTTTTTTTCATTTTTTCGAAATCTGCCAATGATAAACCTTGACCACGGAAAACTTTGAATGTTGACGTAGTCTTCTTGCTGGATTGTTGTTCATGATATAAATTGTCAATATGGTGATGTAAATTTCGAACGAAGAAACCGATTTTAAGTATAATATCGATATCCATTAGTCGAAGACCCCGATTGAGCATAGAGCATATAAAGTATGGTGCTGTATACCACCAAATCGGTGTATGTTGGTAATACTCGCGTTCGACTTTGTTAATTTCGTCTTCATCAATATGATTTTGAAGACGACAATAGTCTACGAGGTTTTTAATAGATCTTGCATCGTCCTCTTCGATTTCCAAAAAAGCATCTTTCAGTAATTGCGTATACATAAATAACGCATCAATGCCATTAAAACTGATCGAGATCATAGCTCGATCACAATTTTCACGATCGATTTGTAATGCTTCAGAAATCGATTCGATGTTTGCGTACACACCTTTTACCTTATCTATTTTTCTGGCCCATTGTTCATGAACCGATTGATTGCTACAAAAAATATACACCGATTCCAATTGTGGCCATGCCTCAATTTTTGGTACCACATGCTGTCCCAGTGAACCAGATACAATCATAAATACTTTTTCTCTTTTGATTTCACTTAGAAAATCGACGCATTTTTGAGCATCTGTAAATGTTGTGACAGATGCCACAATACGCCGTAATTGTTGTAATAATTTCTTGTAATCTTCATTCGATTCATTGATATTGGCATCAAGCCAAACCAGAAGAAAATTTTGAAGCACCCGCTGCACAGGTCGAGACAGAACAGCGGCCGCACGGTTGTTGTTGGTAGTAATCATCATTGTTGTCCCGCTAGCAGTAGTTTTTGTCGGTTTTTGTTTGTCCATAATCGATGAATAAATGAATGCAATAAGTGAAACGTCGCCTCTCTATATTTTGTATAATTGTTTATTCTCTTTTGCTGACATGTTTCATTTTCTGACTTGTTGCTATAGACTTCAAGAATTTCTTCTCTGTTGATCGATCGTTTGTTTATTTTAAGAGTATGGTGCTGACGAAACGATGATGACAGACCGGTCGAGTCTCTCTATACATCAAACAAGAAGCAAGGAAGAAGAAAAACGAAAAGGACTAAAATTGATGCATTATCGGTCGTCATTCATAGGAAAGAAAAAACTGAAAATTATAAATCGAATTTTAATAATGTTGTTGGTTGCTTTCATTGTTGTTTGTTTTGTTATTAAGCTTTTTTCCAACCTTGTAAGCAAGGTATTAAATATGTATATGTGCGCAGCTTGATGTGTAGAAAGAGGAGGAGAACGATAATAAGACGAAAAACGTGCACATGTGTTGTTTTTGCTTGATTCGTTCGAAACAACTAAGTTCAAAAGCAAACTGCACGAAAAAAAATTTTTCAATTATTATTCATTAATTTTGGAGTGTGGGTGTGGATATCGACTTAAAATATACCCACACTCACACCTCCAACTACACTCACATCCACGATTTCATATTTTTTGTAATGATTTAGTATTACATCGAAAAATAAGCTGGCAAAGTTGTAATTCCTTTGTTTATTTTAAATGCAAGAATGATGAATTTTAAAATGGTTGCAGAACTTGTGGACCACTCCTTATATTTTATACATTTCTTATTTGAATTTTCAAAAACCCTATTTGATCAGGTGACACAGTCAATACATGGTTCGAATTTTTATGCAAGATCAAATAACGTGATCATAATCTCATTATTCTTTCAATTATTGGCCGATTGTTTTCGATCGAAAATTTCGAAAATGAAAAAAAAATCATTTAAATATTTGTTTGTTGCGCAAAAAGAATTTAAAATTGTGCAATGATTTTTGATTTAGAATACTCAATCTTGCTTATTTGGTCTCATTTCTATTATATTGTGCGATCAAATAGGTTATTTTCAATCTAAAACCTATTATGTTTCATATTGAAATCAGTATATGAATTCGAATAACACTATAGAAGTTGCATTCATATTTGCGACGCCAGTCTTATAGTTCTCCGAATTAATCTAGTAAATACTCTTTCTTGATATCATGTTTTGTAATTTAATACCATATTTTTCTACTTATAACTCTTAACAAAACGATATGCACAGTTTATTAATGATATTGAAATTGTATCCTATATTTTGAAACTGAAGTTAGTAATTGATTTTCGATAGACTAGATTAATCGAGCGATGTGTGCTTAAGTGTCGAGTATAAAAATATAAGCGAATCTTAGAAAACAGTAGCAATCGTATCTTTACTAGAAGAATATTGAAAAGTATGAAGGCCGTTATCTTTACTATTGTTCAACTATGGATAGTTCTCTTGATTGATGCAAAACCTCTTAATATTTTGGTTTGTCTTCTTCTATTTTAATAGTTTTAATTGTTTATTATTTAATTTAGGTTTCTCGTCCTTTGCGATATGTAGTGAAACCCATCGATCGAAACGGAATCAGTCCTGAAAATCTAGGTATGTTTCATTTTTTTATTCTTACAGATCAACACGATCAATTTTTTCGTTTGTTTTCATTGTTTTAACCGTAGGTAGAGCACTCAGAGATGACATACTTGTGCCTGGACCAAAATCGAATGTGATGAATCGTGGAGTTGCTTATAACTTCGCAAATAAATGGCCCTATGGAATTGTGCCTTATGACATGTCGCCAATTACAAGTAATCAAAAGTTTATGACTAAACCTCATCGAGATGCTGTAATATACTTTATACTAATTGTTATTTTTTATAATTTCTTCTATGTAAATTACGTAAATTTTGGAGGAAAATAACACTGAGTGTAAGTTTAAATCGAGGTTTTCTCGGCTTCCTCTACGTTCTAGTACAAATTTTAGCACCTCACCCTTCCCAAGAGCTCTAGCAATTGGAAATGGAGTGTTAGTAATATCAATGATTAGGCCATTCTGAAACTCTATAGATTCTAACTGTTTAGTGTAAATACTGCGGGTTTTGGTTTTTCATGCGATGAAAGGATCCCATCATAGGTGTCAATCAATAGGGTGATCGTACTTTTGATCAAGTAGAGTTATAACAGGAAGGACATAGGAAAATATGATCTATTTGAATCCTAATTTTAGTTAAAACTCAGCAGTATAAGTCAAAATTCGTCGAAAGAAAGGAGAGTGTATGTGGTAGCTTACTGGGTGATAAAATTAATATGTATAGTAGACTAATATGGCAGCTCATCCGATGAAATGAAAAGTAAAATTATATTTGCTACTTCCTGTGGTACATATCATTTGTGACATATTATCAATAGGACAACAAAAGTTATATATTGAAGGTGTATCCGACAACACGAATAAGCTTTTATAGTATAACGATCTCTAATAAATCAAATAAAGTTTTTTCAAAGCGAATTATTGTAGAACCTCTGACAAAATGTCATAAATTTATAACGGTTAGAGTTTGTGAACTCCGCATTTTAATCACTGATAGAGTCGTACTGACAAGTTTTTTCTTATATTGTAAATCGATAAATACTACATAGTTACAATTAAAAAATACTATATCAGAAATCGAAAAGAACTGTAATGACAAAAATTAATTTTTATGATTCTGAAGAAAAAGCTTTCAGCACAATCCTTACTATGGGATTTAAATATGAAACATAATTGAGTCGTTTTAATTGCATATGAGAGCTCTGATATAATAACAACGTTGTAAGGAAGAAAAATGAGTTTTATAGAATTCCGAATTTCGAGCGTTCTGAAAATCGAAAAGTTTGAGAGTCAAAAAATTTAAAATAGCATGTCAACATCTCCCCTATGATCCTTGTATATAACCTTAGGATTGTTAGGTTCACTCTGTAGCTATGTACTTCAAGACTAATCGACAATCGTCTGTCAAAAAAACTGTAAACCGAAAAGAAAAATCAAAATTATTTTCAATCAAATTTGATTTTTTTGTCGACAAATTATTGATTATTCATTGGAATTAGTTAAGATTTTACAGTCTAGGTGCTAACAAAAAAAAATTAAACGAATGATGTATAAATTTATACGATATTCTAGCCAAAAGATATCATATTTTCTACAAGTAAAATTTTCATTGTGAAGATCAATGCAGCCATTTGTTTTTCTGTGAAAAATATGATAATTATTCGTAGAAAATTCAGTTAGGATTATTTTCTAGTCATTTTTAACGGTACAATACTGAAATATGTATTTTTCATTCATAAAAATAACCACATATTACGAATGATTCCATGGATTTTGCATTTGTTTGGCATAATTGTCCATTAAAAAAAAATATCTAGCTTGGAGTAACTTTTGAACATTAGTGACAATATTCAGTTAACTCTTTAGTTAAATGATTTTTGAAGCCTCTGTTGATTTTATATTTCTGATATCTTATTTTACTATTAGATTCAGGTGATCGTGACATGATAAGAAACGCTATGGACTGGGTAGTGTACGATACGGGCTCGCCGATTGCTGGCTCGGACTCACGTGCACCTTGTGTCTATTTTCGACCACGTGAAGCTGGAGACGAGACGTTTCTTACAATTCGATATGGACAAGGATGTAATGCACACGTAAGTAAAGATAAGGAAAAGAATGATTTAATTAACTTTTGCCGATGTCTAAATTCTACAGATGGGTTATTGGCAAAATTTTGGGTTAACAATGACTTTGCAAAAGGATAATGAAGCGAACTGTTTCCATAGTGGAACTATTAAACATGAATTAATACATGTACTCGGTCAGTAACAGCATGTTATTCGTATATCAAGTCCTACTAGAAAAGTTTTATACATTATTTATACAGGTTTCGACCATGAACAAAATAGACCAGATCGTGATAACTATGTTACAATCAATTATGGAAATATAGATTCTGAGTGGGTAAGAAAGAATTTCGAGTCATGCACAATGCCAGATCGAACGAATGGACTATCTGACTTTGTGCTTCCATTTATTTTCCGACTGTCATTTATACAAATTCCATTAAGTTTCAATCTTTTCTCAGAAGTACTAATTATTATTTCCAAAAATAGTCGTCAGAGCTTGTCAAAAAATCCTTACCGAAGTTCGATTGCAAAGTGATTATGAATATAGTAGCGTTTCTCTACGATTCAGAAAAAATAATTTTATGATTTACTTCTTTGTACAAAGATGGTAGTCATTCAGAGAGTATACTTTTATAGACGTCATCTACAAAAATGTTACCAAGATTTATCATAAACAGTGTTTTCATATATTTCCGACTGAAAAGTTGAATTTCAGGTTTACACTTTCGAATAAATACTGACACTCTCTTGCTATGAATGACACGTAAAAATAAACGACTGAAACTTGAAACACAAAGGATAGTTGTATAATCGAATATAAATTTCAAGTTTGACAATATTACTCACTTTCTTCATTTCAAACTCATATGGAGTTATCTAGGATAGCTATATATTGTGAATCTTATTGACTTGGGTTCTTAGTAATTTTTTGTGTCTTTTTTAGCACTATGCTTTCGAAAAGAGTACATGGGGAAAGACGGCAGTCGATCTAGGAACCAGTTATGATTACAGCTCGATTATGCATTATGGTAGAGATTATTTTTCAAACAACGGTCAACCAACAATAGTACCTAAACAAGCCAATGCTCCGATCGGTAGTTCTGATGACCTTAGTCCGACAGATATCGTTGAAGTTCGCAGATTCTACGGTTGTCCTGCTTAGTTCTCAATATTTCTTGTTGGATTTTGTATTGTAATCATTTTTAAGAAATGATTATTATCTAAAAGTTTTACTTGAACCAAGATCAAGTAAAAGATAAGAAATAAATATTCAAAATTTCTTCAAGAATTAATTCTTTAACGAGCATTGACCTCATCGTTGAAACAGCTATGATTAAAGGCATTTGTTTATTAAATGTTCTAAACTAATAGGAAAACAAATCTTTGATCTACAATGTATAGTATAAGATCTTGTATCATGCTCTTATAGAAGAAGTGAAAACAAAGAAAAATTAGTAAAATTGATGTCAAATACACATATTTTGAAAAGAATGCCGAATAATCTTTTTTCATATTTTATTTTAACATTGCTGAAAAGTTAATGTTGTTCCTATTGTTAAAGCAGCAAGTAATAAAATACTAATAAAGCCCATTATTATTAAGAGATAGTTATATCGCAGAAATCTGCATCTATTGAGGTGTGTCCCAGTAAAATAATGACGTGGTTGAAATACGGTCATGACATTGCATCGAACGACATTTTTTGGGCTAAGACTTTTATCGAATATAAATTTTCTCATAGATAATCTTTTTATTTACCAACTGAAGCTCAGGTTTCTATGAAAAAAAACGTCACGATTTCGACCGAAAATAAGAAATGTCTGTATGCTACATATATATTGCTCATTATACGGTTGATTTTAATCTATTGAAAAAATACTTAATGTTGCCTTTGTATCTCATATTATAATTGACGTTGGACACGATATTCACTGATTCTCAGAATAAAGATCACGTTGAAATCGCATTGTTGTCATCGATACAGAATTGATTTATCCGTTGTATAAAAAATTGATTAAAAATAGGAATATTTGAGTTTCATCGTAAATCTTTTGATTGAAACAGAAAGATCAAGTGAAATAATGCATGTAGGTGAAAAATAGAACGACATCCAAATCCATACTATGGCTTCGGGTAGGTCTCAGTAAAACTAAGTTAAATTTTAAAGGATAATCGTTTCTGAGAGCAACATGTTACCGAAAAATTCAAAACAAATAGTTTCGATCTGAATTTTTGCTTATAATCAAGTTAGATAGACGTGAAATTTTCCAAGAAAACGAATATGTCTTTCTCGTTATGTTGGACTTCCAAGCAGACTCGATTGCTGTATCATTTTATATTTGTTTTTCATTGAACATTTTAGGTTTGTACAACTGATTTAAAAAAGTCATGACTGTTTATCAGTAGCTTATGGACCAAAATCTTTTCAAGCTTGGTTTTATCTAACTGAGATTTCCTCTCGTATTTAATAAACAATATTTGAGAAGATAAGAATTTACTATGGATTTGATAAAGCAGAAAAGGTTGCACAAGTTCTACTTAGAAAAATGATCAAAAAATATATCCATACTATATTAATTTAGTCCTAATGATAAAAGATCATTATCTTTATCTAATACTTTATAATTCTATTTTCGAAACTTGTCAATCAAACAATATTATAATGAAGATTTTTTCGCAACATGAAGAGTACAGAATGTAGAATATCTCGAATCAATGCTTCTTCTTCATTCAACAGCAAATCCAACATAACAATATTTATAAAAAATGAATTCCTTCACACTCTCTATAGATCTATTATATTCAGTAGTTCATAGTAGATGATACCGTTTGTATCAAATATTCAAATCACATATTTTGTTATTAGATGTTTCGACTTATTCAACATCGTATATCGTACATTTTCTGTATGCTGTTTACTTTTAGTTATTCTTTAAAATAAAGTAATTATACACACTTTAGTCTCATTAGATAATCAATGTTTTATTTTCACGAAAGAGGAATTCTATAACAATAAATTGATAAATTTTCATGAGCTGTGCTATGAACATTTTTTCAGTACTAGTATTTCTATTGCTTGACTTTATATCAAAATTATGCTAACATCAAACAGCTATTCGTCTACGTATAACTAGAGTTTCTATGAAATATCGATACTTCTCATCACTTTGTTAAATATAGCCCCGTCTATAATAGGACTAATCTTATATAAACAATCACAATTTTAGTATTTCTTTGGAAAACCAAACTACCGCCAATATCGAGAAGTTGTAAAATGTATCGATTTGTTGAGATATATGCTCTTTTCATCTAATATATCTAATAGACTATGATTAATAAACATTACTGTACTCTTAGCTATCTGAAATGTATGCCTTTGATGAAAGTACAGATTAAAATTTTTTATATCACATGATTTCTTAACCTGGTTATGAAGTATCTTTTAAATACATCGAAATCTTTATCTCTTTAAAATGCTGACAATAAATTTTTTTGTCATTATATGGAAATTGATTTTTAAAAAAAAATTCTAATTATAATAAAGTTTTTAAGATCATTCAATCTACGGATTAACTTATATCAGTAAATTTTCATTATTTAAATCACACGATGAATCATCCGTATCTATCAGTGAATAGATCAACTATTCTATTCGATCAAAGAAATAATGATAACATAATGTGTCCTACTAGTTTATACATGTTTTTTTCTTTCTTCTATTCTTTCCATTCTTATGAATCAATAAAATAATCCTATGTATGTATATTTGTTAGTCAGTTAAACATTTTAAATATCTCGTCTATGACAACAATCATCATATCTAAACAACAAATACTGAAGAGAAAAATGTTCCACAATATCATTGTTTTTTTTTATTTTTTATTTTTCAGAAATGCCTGAAATTGGTTTATGTACTGACATAACATGTGATAATGAAATCAATGAATTATATGAATGTCATTGTTGTTTACGTTCTGTTTGTTTAAATCATTTGATTCAACATGTCGAAATAACAAAAGAAAATAAACGACGATTAGATAGTCTTCGTAATGAATTAAATACAGTTATAATTACACTTAAACTAATTATTGAACAAAAACTATTTACTATTGGACGTGAACAAAAGTTAATTGAACAAGGAAAAAAATTTCTTGATATGTCCGATAGTTCAATTGATGAAATACAAAATATTTTTGAACAAATTAATCAAGCCATTGTATTAAATCGTTCAGGTAAAAACTAAATTAGATAATCATTTATTTTTTATTTATTGCTTTTTTGTTTTTATTATGAAAGAAATCCACGTGAAAGACGAAGTTTCATTCTCAGAAACTAGAAAATGTTCTTGTATTTGCAAATGTAATAAGGAAAATATAAATTCAAATGGTAAATAGAATTTTTCTATTATTTAATTCAAATTGAATTTTAATAGATCAATCATCATGTGGAAGTACTCGTTCGAAATCAAAGTATTCTATTTCTATCTCATGTATTTTGTTTTATTTGTTCTTGTTAGATCTCTTATCTGTTTGGATTCAGCAATAGATACAGGTATCTAACTACAAAACGATTCAAACTTGTTACTCATTATGTTAAGCCGACAAAGAAATCTTGATAAGACTAGAAAAACTCAAAAGGATTCACAACGACGAGTCGCATTGTGATTGTTTTATTGAACTTTCGACTGTTGATTGTAAATTCAACTAATAGAATTTCAACCTGTAATTTTGTCCATAGATAGTTCTTATGACTCTCAAAATAGCTTCAAATTTTCATTTATTAAGATATTGATTCTTGAAGTAAACTCGATTTTTCTGACAGGAAACTATTTTGTTGGAAATTCAATATTTTGATAGATAAATATTCATTTTGGCTGAAACTTTCAGAATATTTACAGACTTATGAGATCTGCAGATCGAAAATTCACTAAAATAGTCATGACTCGGTTCAAAGCCTTTTAAACTTTTCTAATGGTATCGAAACTACTTTATGCACTTGATATGAGTTCGTGTAGTTCTCGTATAGAATAGAAGAATTTCACTGATTAATCTTTTTTTTTTTTTGTGCTTAGATGTGGTGGAAGAATTTGGAATGTCAGAGAGTAAGTTAAAATTTTTCTTAACCTATACAGAAATAATAAACATAATTGATTTAAGATGATAGATGTTCAACATATATCGATCATAACTCTATTGATATTACATCATTTGAGTAAGTTTTGTGTTTTCTATTAGAAAAGATTCAAAGATCTTTGCATATTTGTTTTTTTTTCTTCTAGTGAAACAACAAAATCTATTAAGGTGAAACAATTATAATATCTATGGAAGATTCGATAAAGTTAATTTTTGAATTAAAACATCAAATATTACCATGTCGTATCTATTATCTATTTCAAAATATAATGTGCTTCACTGGTTTTTTTGAATAACTCGATAAAACAAGTAGCTAGAAATCTGCGATTTTCATCAATCGATAGAGAAGATAGGGGTACGTCTTTTTCTTCAATATTGTATAAGACGAAATCATTTTAAAATTAGTCATTTCTACAAAACATCGAAAAAATGTGTAAAAACGGTCTGTCATTCAGATGACATTTTGACAAAAAGTACGAAAATTTGCTTAACATCAAGGTATGGGAAGATAATCATTCCTATTATATCTTGAAGTATAGATCTGAAGTTCCTCTATCTAGATTACATGTCAAAAGCAAAATTTCATCGGAATGACAGATCATTTTCATGCACTTTTTGTAATGTTTTGCAGAAATAACTGATTTTAAAATGCTTTCGTCTTATACAATATTGGAGAAAAAGATGTGCTCCTGTCTCCTCTATCGGTTGGTGAAAACCACAGGTTTCTAGCTATTGCCGTTATCGAGTAATTCAAAAAATAGTGGAGCACATTGTATTTTGAAACGGACAATAGTGGTAGTATAACTCAGAAATAGACATCTCTCGATGTAATTTGTTCAAAATTGAATAGAATAGATTCTTATTTGTTGTTCGAGTATTGTTAAAAAGAAACAATCATAAACATGTTTTATTTTTTATTTTCCAGGTTTCATATTAATTAATCCTTTCTTGTTCTACGTACCATTCTGTAAAAATTATGAAAAAACTTATTTTCTCATGAAATGAAAGCTTATGTATTACACATATCGAAACAACCGTATAATGTTTGATGCGAGAAAAATTTTTCATCTAGTTCAAATATACAGTGACTCTCAAAATTGATCATATATATATATATATAGCTGATCGTCTTATTTATATAATATTCCAAAATTGGTTTGAACAGATTGAATTTCGATTTTTGTCAATATTTGATTCGTTCTCATATTTTGTCAGACTGGAAATACAAAAAAAAACGATGTATGTCGAATGCATTGGAAATAGATCATGTACCGTACGCAAACATATAAGGATAATTGAATGAAAGGCTTCATTAAAGTATTTTCATATGTCTTTCTCTATGAAACGAACTGATTGCAAAGTACAATATTCAGCTATTTTTGCATGGGATGTATAATCAATTTTCAGCGAAATTGATGCTCATGATTTTTAGTATTTCTAGTTCGACAGTGTAAATACGTAATATAGAGAGCTGATACTTCAAGTAGATAAACTAAGGAAGTAGGGCTAGATTCCCACGGAAAACACGACTCAATCTATTGAAAACATCTTGATATATTAGAAAAAGAAGACAATCAATTCGGTTCAAATGATCAATTTTGAGTGTCACTATGTATATATATATATATACGAAATTATGTTCCGAAACGATTTATATTCGTCGTAAACGAATCGAAAAATTTTTAAAATAATTCATTCATCTTCCATCTAAGCCGGTAGAGACAAACAATGCTTTCTCCTAATAGGATTATTTATAGTTATTTCTTCTTGCAGATTTATGCTCGTAATAATTGTGTATAGATTATATTTCAGTATATTTATCTCGACTTGTATATAATGATGGTTTGAAATGTTAAACATATTGACAATTAATATGCCTGATTCAAAACTTTTCTGTGTAAATTAGGAATCATGAAATTGATGTTTATGAACAAAATTCCGTTCTATACCTTCAGGTTAGACCGAAGACAAGAAAGAGTTACGTTAGAAAATAAATGTTAGTAGTAAATAGAATAAAAATATTGTATGTGATGCCTTTTATTTAAAAATAGATTTGTAAATCAATGAAATTCTAAAACAGTAGTTATCTGATTTTTTTCTAAGCATCTTTAGATTTTTCAAAAGAATCGATTTATTCTTTGTCAGTGATGTGACCGCATGCGAATCCACAATTGAAAGAATGCTTCGATAATCGAATGAGAAGTTTGAAGCTTTTGTTGACGTACTTGACAAGATCTCTAGAAGAAGGTTTTTGGAGGGCGATCTTGTTGAAAATTTGATTATAGATGCATTGCGTACCATAGAGTTAATCCTGGAATTTTTGATTTTTTTTCTTGTATGGTTAGAGAGATATTCTCTGACTACCTGTTTATTGACTGATTAATTTTAATTAATAGTTAACTGAAAGAACCAATATTTTTACATACGTATGTCTAAACTAAAAGAACTTATTCAGAAAATTAAATTTATAACGTGATATTCTGATGTGTTTCTGTATCTAAAAAAAATGTAACAAATACAGTATGTATATGAAGGTGATTTTCTATGAACTGATTGTTCATAAAGATATTTAAACATTTATTTTTTTTGTGTTTTTCAGGATCAAGATATTAATGAAGAACACAATAAAAAAAAACGAGGAGAATACAGAAATTTATATGATCGATGTCCATTAACATTTGATGGTGCATATGGTCTTACTAAAGCAAAATATTCTATTAAATTTTGTGAGCATGGAAAAAACCGTCGAATCGGATTATATCATCATTTTATGAAAAAGCATAAATTAAAAGAAATTTATGCTCGACGTTTGGCACGAGCTGTTGCTGATAATCAAGATCCTATGATAACAAAATTATTTGATGAAAATGAAGATGTAATTGATCATTTTTATAAACTTCCATGTCCTTTTAGAGATGGACACACTCAATTACCTGGATATAATCAAAAAAATATACTTAATGTACCATGTCGATTTCATGCAATTCCACTTAATACATTAAAATATCATTTACGACATTATCATCATGTTTCTAATAGAATTTCACAAGAATTAATTGATTGTTTCAAAGAAATTCAAATGAAAAATGATGTTATTTTGTCTGAATTTGATCAATCAGAATGATTAAAAGAAATGAAAATCTTGAACTTGTTTTTTTGTTTATCTCTGTCTTATTTATTTGTTACAAAATTCTTACATGTATTAAAATAAAAAAAAATTCAATAGTTTAAAACAAATATTTTAATAATTCTTTGTTATCAATGTTTGATTAGGTGTCTATAGTTCAAATTAGCGAGCCCATAAAAAAATTAATTAACGAGACAACAATTCAAGTGTCTCACACCATTCTTCAACTTTCTAGTATGACTATGAATTATAGAGTTACATTTGTTTTAATGAAATTGTTTCTAAGAACAAGAGTTTTCGAGAAAGTTAAAAAATGAAGATTTTCAATCTGAAATTTTGTCTCCGGACACGTCTGATAATCCTGAAAGTTTTAACGAAAATGAAAATAACTTTCTCAAGGTATTTAACATTCAAAAAACAAAAAAAGAACAATGATTTACAATAGGAACACATAACAATCGAGTCTACCGAGAAAGACATGTTCGTTTTCGTTAAAACTTATAGAGTTATCAAACATGTCAATAGGTACAATTCCAGGTTAATACTTCCTGTTTTAGATTTTTCGGAAAAGATACGAGATCAGCAGCTAGAACTTCATAGAGCCATCTTTTGGAACACGAATCTTGTTTAGGACAAGAATTTTTTCGTCAAAAATATTTTTGATTCATCTAGATTGTAGAGCATATCAAGTTGACGATAGAACACTATTTTTTTTCCATTTAAAAAACATAACTCTGTTCTGTTTGTATTTATAAAAGAAAATAAATGTACTTCTTTTTCAAAAATATGTATTTGAAAGATATATGTCACTCGCACTTCTGAAAAAGCTATAGTTCAACGTATGCTAGTCACTGACAATTTTCATGAAGTACTATTGAAATCAGAGAGAGTTCGCTCTTCAACAACAAAAAACTGTTGAAAGTAAATAAAAGACGTTTGTTGTGTGGAAATCTAAATTATATCAACTTAAATTTTGCATACTAAAAGCTAATGCCAAAGCAGATCAAATCATGTCTCTATGTACAAGCAAAAAATCCGAGTACCTATGACAGATAAACTACTAATTGAAACCATATACAATAGAAACTTGCCTTAACCATATCTATTACACTTCAAACTAGACTATCGAAAAACAGGGGAAAAAAAAGTACTTTATAGTCAAATTTCGACGTTCTCCATCATCTGAACGGATCAAATTCGTTTATTAGGTGATATTACTCGTAACCTATTAGATTTAGTCAAAAAAAAGCGATTGTACTATTGAGAGATCTTCTCTCATAGGTAAAAGTTTCCTTTAAATAGTCATAACTCTATAGCAGTAATCTATGGATCTGAATCATTTTAAAGTGGTCCTAGTCTAACCGAAACATACTAGTGCTCATAATATGAAGTAGAACATCGTCCGAAGGTTGGCTATATTTCCTTGTGAGTCTAATTATTCTTTCCAAAGACCTAAAATTGAATAGAAAACTGAAGTACAAACAGATAAAATAAGCAATAATTAACGAACCACTCTCCAGATAGTCTCACAAACCTTACAAAAAAAAAACATGTATAAACAGACTGGAATAAAAAAGAGAAAAATTGGTCGTTTGTTTGCTTCCATTCGTGTTTTTCGACTATGAGAGAAAAACGAGCTGCTGGAAAACTTACAATGAACTTTATTTTATCGTTTTTTGCTAATCGCACAAAAAAAATACACTGTAAAACTCATGTGAGAACTGAAACAAATTGACTTTCAACGCATTTTTACAAACGAATTTCTTTAAAAACAATCATAAGTTCATAAAAAAAGTCAGAACTACTAGTGTTAAAAAACGTATCACTTGAAACAGAGATGAAAGAACTACATTTGACTAGCACAAGTGAATATAAAAAGTTCTCTTTTGTTTTTGGCGTGAGCATAATCCTTTTCTCAAAACTGGAATTGGGAACTAAAAATAACTACTTTACTCTTTATTTGGAAATTTGATTAACATAGAATAGTCATATCCATCTAGGTACTATTTACTTTGGCTCTTAGAATAGATACATAATAGTAACATATCTAATTGACTTACGTGTTTGTGAGAAATATTGAACGATCAAATTTTGTTACTCCCGTAAGGGACAGGCATTTTTACAGTACAACTCATCAGAAGATGACAAAAACTCCGGAATAGATAGATCTCATTAACTTAAGCAAAAGTTGCTAGAAAATCAAAGTTCTCTAAGGCTTTTCGGTAGATAATATTGGAGTCACAAGGTCAAAATTGTCTTCCTAATCGTCTTCTCCCCTTTTCTAAGCCACAGTAAGTTGCATATGGATAAAATTTCTCTTTTATCTCCTTTCATTCTAATAAGAACATCATGAAAAATGCATCAATATATATATTTTTTTTATTTCACTAACGCTTGTTTTGGAAATCTTGGCAAAAGCAAGCGTCAGATCCTACTTTGAAATAAATGAAATTGGTGCTTTGAATACTTTCTGGTAGACACAGAAAAAAGTTTCAATTTGATCAAATGTACTGTGTTGCAGAAATGAGAACGATTCTACACTACTTTTGTGGCAAAATTGGCTTTTCAAAACTAGTGATAGAGTATGTAATGTAAATTTTGACGTTTCTGAGAAAAAATGTTTCAGCTTTTCTTGGTATCATTGCCTTGAAATAAATCTAATAGATAGAAGTGTATTTCGAAAGATATTTAGACCAGAAAAAAAATCAAGAATAAGAAGTCAACAACTTCTCGATCAAGAAAAGAAAATCCACATAAGCAAAGTGCTTTTTACAATAAATTGATTACTTCGCATGGACTATAATTAAATGTTATATATTTTCTGAAGAAAATCTATTTATTTATTATAAACCTATATTAATGATATTTGAAAGATGAGTCCATTTAATTGAATTATTGTTGTTGATCATTATAATAGATCCTGAAGAAGAATGAAAACTATGATTCGATGATTGTGAAAAGTAATACTATGAAATACATAGATTATCAAATCAGTACTTGATAATGTAGAAGTTATAAGAAACTGATGATCAATATTTGTAAAATGAATCTTACTCATCGATAAGTTGCTAATTTATTATGTTAGTATCAAATTTAAGTTTTTATAATGAAAAATATTTATTATTTCTCTTAGTCTCAAAAGAGAAATTGAAAATAAATATTAACTAATCAAAAGTAGTCCACTACAAAAAAAAAGAAATAACTGCAAAAATTCGATCATTCTCTTAATTTTGTCATTGTTAAAAGAAAAATAAAAACAAATCAAGATACATAAAAGATAGAAACATTTTGAATCATTAAATTACTAAATTCGTTTTGAATTAATTCAATGATTTGCATCTATCTTTTTTTCATTTCTCTCTTTCTAGAAAATATTAATATAATTTCATCAATTGTCTATTCTTGTAATCCCAATACTGAACACGGATGTGAGTGTGAGTACCGATTAACAAAAGACTCATCCATACCTAAGTCATCCATCATCATATTCAAAGATTACGTCTTACTAAATTCTATCGAAATGATCCTGAGATTCGTTCTACTGCTTGAAAACTAATGCTCATCGTCATTTTGTGTCTTAATCAAGTTGAATTTGCTTTCAAACATAGAATAATCGAGTCCTTCATTGCATAGAATTACTTTTCAACTATTTATAGGCATATTGGATAAGTAAAATAAAAATGAGTCGTTAGAATCTCATTGACTTACGAGGGAACATTCCCAAGTGTCACATCGCTTTTGAGTCGAGCGTATGTGCATCATATAGATCCTAATGATCTATGAATACTCTGAAAAAAGTTCGTGCTGCTAGCTTATTACTGCCGAGATATTGCATTTTTATTGTATATTTAAGAAAAAAAAGCTGTGGTCCCCGTCAGGAACACTAGAAAAACCGAGTTTCGAACTTCGACTTGAAACTTTGCATAGAGATAGACCTCAGTGAGAATAGTTTATTGTGAAAGTTTCAGATCTTTTCGTTGTTCCTATCCTAAGATACAGCTATGGTAAAATAGCTTATATACACCAGCAGATTCCGATTTTCTTATTTCAGACTAGGAGCAATCAAAAGATCTGAAACTTTCACAATAAACTATTCTCACTGAGGCCTACCTCTATGTAAAGTTTCAAGTCGAAGTTCGAAACTTGGTTTTTCTAGTGTTCCTGAGGGAGACCACAGCTTTTTTTTCTTAAATATACAATAAAAATACAATATCTCGGCAGTAATAAGCTAGCAGCACGAACGTTTTTCAGAGTATTCATAGATCATTAGGGTCTACATGATGCACATACGTTCGACTCAAAATCGATGTGACACTTGGGAATGTTCCCTCGTTAGACGTCCGCATTAAAAATCATTCCGAAGGTATATGCTTATATTTATCTTTTATTAAGATATTATCTTCTGTTTTGTTTTTCAGTCGTACAAATGGAGATTACTTTTAGATTAAAAAGTTCGAAAATATATTCTTCACAGCTTGTGTCGATTTAAGTTTATTGAACTAAAAAAAAATGGATTTTTATTTAGCTTACAATTCTAATTTTATGATATTCACTTATATAACAGATTCTTAGTTTATTAATTCTCTATGAAGAAAAAAGTTATACAATAACAAGAGTTATTCGAATTTCACTTCGCGATATACTGTAAAATTTCTTTTATATACGAAACTATTAATACATTACATAAAATGTATTTGTGAGAAAATTAATATGAATCAAGTGAACATTATTTACACCTTCAAAACTTAAAATAAAACCATTTTGATTTTAAATACATTGTAAGTAGTATGGTCTTCTTTCGAATTAGAAGTGTACAGTTTCATCGATCGAATTTGTTGAAACTCAAATCATTGAATAAAATATTTTTCATATAATTCAAAAGAGCTTCTACAAAAATCACATGTAAGAGCACGAGGCTGATAAGCGTGCCAGTTCCATACAGAGAATAGGTCGTTTACGTACAGAAAGGAGAAGAAAAAATTCAATGTACTCTCAAT